TTTTTTTCGCTATTGTATGCCGTAATATATTTTTTTTAAAAAATAAAATGTGATTTCAAAAGTTTATTTTTTGCCTTGACATGCAAAAAATAATAATAATAATAATAAATAAATAAATAAATAATAATAAATAAATAAATAAATAATAATAATTAAATAGATAAATGAAAAACATGTTTTTATTCCTCCTATTCATCAGTGCATGCTGAATGTCGATATTTGCGAGGCTGCAAAATAATATTAAAATATCTCTTTCGGACTTAGCCAAACAATTATAGAAGATTATCGACTTTTGCCAACAAATTCTGATCTTATATAGTAACATGTAAGTATCACCATGCAAGACAAAATTTGTAACGCTGTTCTTAATTCTTCATTTGGAATGTGATCATTTATTGGGTTGTTTAGAAAGTAATCTCTTTTTTTTCCAACAGAGGACTTAATACATTTTTTCACATCCAAAAATGCGTATAATCATTTTATATTTCGACAGCTAATTTAGCAAGGCTTATTTGTGAAAAAAAAACAATGATTTAAAGTAGTAGTTTTTCGTTTCTTACGTTTCAAATTCGGAAAGGGAAAAACATTATTTTTTTGACTTATAGTGCGGCTCTCAGGAGAACTCCTCCAGACACCCGTCTCGCGTCGTGGCGGGTACTATGGTTACGAGGAAAGGTCACTTCGAATAAGGGTGTGGGGTGAATAGTTTTGTCTTAATCATAGCGTATATAGTCGTGAGTATAACATTCGACACTTTCTTTCCTTTATTTAACCCCCATTAGAAATGTGCTCTCGCTTGTTGCCATAGCAGCAGACAGCCCCAAAGTTTCAGTCTAGAGGAGTTCTCCTCAAAGCCGCACTATACTTACTTTTTATTTACTTTTTGATTTATTTACTTTTTGACTTACTTGAACTGTATTCTTATCGAAAAGATAAAAATAATAAGTAAGAAAATAAAATTTCCTATGTTTATGAAGAACATATATTGGCGATCGAAATGGGCTACAGGTGGCGTAGAGCAGAACTCTCTACCTATGGCAACACTCCGCATGCTCTCACCATTAGCTTGTGGAGAGTCATAGAAGAAGGAAGAACGCAAGTTTCTGTCTTGATTTTCGAATAGATTAAAATCTTGCAAGTTAGGAAACTATATGGAACTGAAAACTGCATTGATCATAATTCTAAAAGAAAGCATCATGGAAATTTTAAAAATATTTTTAACAATTAAACATGAAAAATATTAAGAAAACGAAAAATATCGCAGTACATTCCTATATAACTGAAAAGAGGAGGAGAGGGAAAGGGCCAAAAACATGGAACCGGTCTTCTCCCCAGATGGCGTGTTCAAGCGTTGCGATTGCCTGCTGGCAGTACAACACCAGGTGCCAAAACTGGTTTGTAAAAATTTCAATCTTGCAAAATTTCGATTAAGTTGCACCACTCCAATTTAGGCTTATGAAGACACAATAAAGGTATCAATTAATCCAAATAGCATCTGGTGAGGACACTGAACTAATTTATCGATGCTGTTGTTGTTGTTAATTTACGTCGCACTAGAGCTGCACAAAGGTCTATTGGCGACGGTCTGGGAAGCATCCTGGAGGATGATCCGAAGACATGCCATCACAATTTTGATCCTCTGCGGAGGGGGTGACACTCCCGCTTCGGTAGCCCGACGACCTGCGCTCGAAGTCGAGCACTTTACGGTAGCACATTTTAACGAGGACCAATACCGCACACCCTCGGTCCCTACGCAGACTGATCCAAGTGGTCACCCACCCGCACACTGACCGTAGCCAGTGATGCTTGACTTCGGTGATCTGCTGGGAGCCGTGTCTTAACGATTAGTCCACTGCGGGACTTAAATTTATCGAATTCGACCGTTTATGATCATTGAAAAGCCTAAAGTTTAATCTCAAAGAGCAGCATATGGGATCCTCATGTTCTAACGGAAAGAAATTTGTGCCGTCGCGTTGACGTCTGTGATTTGTTTTTCAACGTCAAGAAAATTATAAGTTTTGAAAACGAAATCATCTCTGAGGAAGAAAAATAAGTTTTCTTAAAAACAATTATCCGGTCTCTACGGAATTTTTATTACAGCGGATTCTTTGCTTTAAAATAAGGTTAAAAATTATCAGTTTTTTACCAGCAAAGGACAAAAGTCTTATGCGCGTTAAATCAGGTTTCTTCCAGAAAGGATATTAGATCAAAATGGGAGAATGATTCAATAAAATATTTAATCACTATTAAAAAATTGCTTTTGATTTTCATTAAAAAAAAATGGAAAAAAACAGCAAATAACTTTTTAAGCAACCCAATATGGCATCTACAATATGACATTATGACTTACAAAAATAAAATATGGCCTATTTTTTTCTTAATCCTAACTGAGTTTATGCACGATTTGACTCATCTAATGTAATCTAACTGATAAAAATTGTTTTTTCGGGAACCCGGAGTTTGAGTGACCTGGTCAGGGATTTAATGCATAAATTTCACAGTTTTTCGCCAAATGTATACCGCAAATGCCTATTTTTAAAATGCTATGCAAATATATTTGACTTAAATGAAATAATTCACTGCATTAAAAATACCAGTGATAAACTTTTTTTTAATGCTTTTCAAATAGAGAACAAAATATTGTATTATTTAAATCATTTTCCCCCGTAATAATTTCGGAGCAATTTCAAAGGACGTTGCGGTTGCTGTGGCTGCTGATTTGGATTAAAGCGTTGATATTGGTCATAATCATCTTGACCTAAGTTACCCTCATTTTGATTTGGAGGAAACTGCATTTCGGGCACTTGGTCACTTTGTCCTGTTCCTTGATCCCCCATTGCATATGCTTGTTCATCAGGACCTTGCGGAACAGGTGCTTGTCCAAATTGGCCTTGACCACCGCTGTAACCATATCCATCCATGTCTCGCTTCTGTTCAATCATAGGCTGGTCGATATCTTCCTGTTCTTTTTCAGGGATCAAAGGAAGGTTTTGTTGAGCAGGATTTTTATCATCACATTTCATTTCGATGGCGAGATACAAAACAATCACATTAAATAAGAACAATTTCTGCCCTGCCATGCAATTCTTTTAATGGCTTACTCAAAAATCTAATTTCAGTTGGCGATAAGAGTAAGATTGTTCGATCAACATATTTAAAGCATAAATCTAGTCTTTGATTTTTCTACTATGCCTACTTTTAAGTTTTTGTCATGCTTATGCTAATTTCCATGAATTTAATTTTTTAAAAATCGTTTGTTACCACTCAAATGCTAGTGAGTACAATAAACTGAAAAAAATTCTAAAACGTTGCAAAATCACTTTTCAGACAAATTATTTTTAAATGAATTTTTGATAATGTCTTTAACTGTTTGATTGTTCAATTTTAATTCCATGAAATGCTTTCGTGTTTCTTATTTAGCCCTTTATGCTAGTCAGAAATTCACAGATGAGCTTAGCAAAACAGTCAACTGTAATTCACTGCAATTTTCGTGCTCGAAGCGGTAGAAAGACCATCTTTAATATGTATTAGAAAATGAGAACAGGTAAAGTATTCACATTGGGGGTAGCAAACTAATTTTAATAGAAGAAAAAAACGCTTTCAAAATTAGACAAATCATGGTATAGGAGGACTGGAATAATAAGTGCAAGTTATGTTTGATTGCGATTGAAACAGAATTTAGTAGTAAAAAGATTAGGAGCACCTTATATATTTCAAACTTTTTTCGATATTTACTGCCTTCTTCTATTGCGATTATTTAGATTTTGAAAAGAATTTCGTTTTTTACTCGCTTAAATATTAATTTGAAACCCAATTTCTATATCCTTCTTTGCTATAATTTTGATAAGGATACTGAACTGCATATTAAGGACGGTTTTTACGGCATATCCTGTTGAAATCGGAACAATCTTTTTCTATTTCTGTGGTACAAGCCACGCTTTATGCTATGCGACTATTCGAACAATGCATTTCAAATTTCGAAATTTTCTATTTAATTTCATTCACGTTTCAATTTGCATATTTCACAAGTTAATATATTTTTTCCTTGGTATTATCTTGATATTATCTTATCTTTCTATATGAGAGTGTGAAGAAATCTTTCGATTGGCGCCTCAAGCTTAATCACAGGCAATTAAAAAATGCAAAAATCAAATTATGGGATTAAATTATAATTTAACTATTTGAGCCACATTTCCCAGTTAACGGATTCTCTTATGGGCAACTAGAAAATCAGTCTTTTTTTTGAATTAGTTTTATATGCTATAAGTCCAAATCTGCCAAGAAAAAATTAAAAAATAATCATAATAATATATGATGACAACTTTATGATCGTAGTGTCTCTCACCTCATCTACGATTTATCTCATTTAGCCATTAGAATTTTATTTATTTTTTTAAGAAAAAAATTAGATCAGGAAATTTTTAAGCATAAACTAATATATTTTTGTCACTAAAAATTTCTTGTGGTATATTAATTATATATTTTTTTATTTTGTGTATGTTTGTTCTTGAATCCTACTAAATGCGAGGCAAAATTTTGTATTAAGCTTCTATTGTTTTTTTTCTAAAATATGTAATATGGGTAACCTTATTTGCGATTATTCACACAATTAATATACGAGCTTGTGAGCTCAATGTAAAAAATAGGTTTTACTCCTTGTTACATTAAAAGGCAGATGCCGCAAGCTACAAAAGAGAAGGAGAACGAATAGGGCATCAAGGGTTTTAAGAACCTAGTTACCTTTATGTTTTAAAGCGGTTGGTGTAAGGACAATACCATTCAGTCACGAAGACCTACAATAATGATCCCGGACGCGCTGTTTTATTTGACGCTTATCAAAGGCATAGAAACCGTTTTACGGAGTTTTCTCACTGCATGCAATCACACATAAATGAGATTCACGCATGCGTGAATAGTTTGCAGTGAAAATGCTTCCTTGGTTTTCTCGAACAAATGGAAAAAAATTGGTAAGTTAGGTCAAACGTGAGCAAATGTTATTGGCAGTTCAGCGCAAAAGAAATTGTAATTGTAAAATATTTGTTTTCAATAAGGTTTACAAAGCTATAATTTTTCTTCAAACTATTTCGTTTTGTATAATATATTTTAATGTGAGGTCTTTAAATACCATTTTTTGCCCCCAATGTTTGAAAATTGATGAGATGCACGCATAACATGTGAAGTTAAACAATGAAGATACGTTGCACTTAGTATATTTAAGAAATTAAATATTTTAATCGTATCATTTTTGTCAGAAATGGCTTTTCGTTTCAATTTCAACAGTCCAGAAAAACTAAGTGACTTTCGTTTCAATTTCAACAGTCCAGAAAAACTAAGTGACTCACCTTCTGAACTGAAACCTTTACCAGAATTAAATGAAAATAAAAAGTTATCACATGGTGACTGTAAATACATTTCTGCTGATGATTTGACTTGCAAGGTATATTTTAAGTTATAAAATATGCGTTATACTTGCTTTCTTAATATTTTGAACCAATTACTATAAAATTTTGGTCCAATTCATACATTCTTTTTTTTCTGTTTTTCTTTATAGTTGTGCTGATTTTTCTTCTCAATCTTTTTATTCATTTTGACATCACATCTTTAAATACCTAAGAATGTTTTCATATCGGTACCTTTTTGTGCCAACTACACTTGACAAGATGTCAAAAGATTGTTGTACTTGCACAAAAAATGAAAAAGTTATAAAGTGGCATTTCCCTTGGACAGTTACGAGTTATATATACTTCCAAGTTCCGAGTTATATATACTTCCAGTTACGAGTTATATATTTTTCCCTCTCTTCTGTGATTTGTTTTTTGTCTTTTGCCTGTCTATGTGTCATTGCTGCCAAATTTTGATGATAACTTTGATACAATATAAGAAAATCTCCCCAAGTTGCTCATAAATTTGTCTGAAACTCAAACAAATAATCCTCTATTTAAGAAAAGCAACAGTGTTTTTCTTGTTAATTATGCTAAATAAGTAATTTTGCGATGACAAGTGTTAAGCAGAGTCTTGGTATAAATTTATTGCGAGTCTAAAATATTTATTTTTTGGCAAGATGACTTGCACAATTACAACTCTTTATTATTGTTTTATTTATTTTTTTTTGTCATTACTGAATTATTTTTCTTTTATTGTCTCACTTATTTGTCTCTTGAGAAAATTAGTTTTCCCAGTTTGTGACAAAGGAAAAAATTTATTTAAAGAATAAAAAAAGAGAAAGAAAGAATTTGTGAAAGGTTTTTTTGTTTTTTTAATTTGATAACTGGAGAGAGAGGAAAATTTTTTTTTAATTTTACATTATCAAAGTGACATGGTATGATAGTTTTTAACTTTTGAAGAAAAAAGATATTCATGTGTATGTGCTAAGTACTTATTTAACAGATATGTTGTTAATTATTTATTTATTTTTTCATATACAGTTACTAGAGATCTAACAAAGGATTGGGTGCTATGTAGACTAAAGCAAAAAACATAAATAAAGCACAAATGAAAGTACATAAATGAACACACATGTATCATTTGGTGTTTGAACACTGAGGAAGGTTCTTTATTTATAGAACTAAAACTTAAGTATATCCATTTATCTACTTTCATTTGTGCTTTATTCACAGTGTTTTTCGCTTTAGTTTAATTACTAGACATTTTGTTCCCTGTAGTTAACTGTTCTATTTTAAAAAATAATAATTCTTGGAGGCTTTACTTTTGAAAAAACAACTCTTATGATGCAGGGGTCTGTCCAGACATTTTGTGAAAGGTCCGTTTTTCGTGAAATTGTGAAAAAATTACTCACATTTTTTCAATCAGGGTCCGTTTCTATGAATTTGTGCATATAGGGTCCGTTATGGCAAAAAACTTTTCAAGGAGTTTTTAAATTGTATAGACATGCAAGATTATGCTCAACACTGTAAAATTGTAATTAAAAAAATTAAATTTTAAAAAATAAACAACAATTGCTGCTTCTAAATTAGAGATGCAACATACAAATATTTGGTATTTAGCCTATACTGCTGAACGCAGAATATTAATTTCGGACGAATAATGGAAGAATCGTCTGCCGAAGACAAAACTTAATTCGTTTACATCCATCTTTCTTGTTTTCTGCCCTGGAAAGGGTTTATTCGATTAACAAAATAATAATGAAGATAAACAAATTTGTGAAGGGTCCGATTAAAAGAAAAATCATTTTGTGAAGGGTCCGTTTTTAAGTTAAAATATTTTGTGAAGGGTCCGTTTTTATGAAAAGATATTTTGTGAAGGGTCCGTTAACGGACCCAAATTTCTTCTAAACAGACCCCTGTGATGCCAAATGATACTGAGTATACTAAGTGAATACTTTTTTTTTGAATTATTAAGCTTCTAAAAATGTGTTTTTCTTAATCTTATACATTCAAATAATGTAAAGTCATCTGGAAGAGAAGGACACTTATATTCTCATCGTGGCTTGGATTTGGTTTCATTTAGAATTTGTTTATAAAATTTTCATATATTCCCTTGCAGGTAGATCAAAAAATAACTAAGAAAATACAATCTGGCAATTTAGAAATAAAGTTTGTAACAGAAGAGTTGATTTCGACTGTTCCATCATACTTAAATAATTCTGAATCTGATTTGCTTCCTGATCAATATGAAGGTATATTTTTTGAATATTTGTTCTAATTATTATTATCAGTAAGTTTCTATCAATACATTTTTTTTATTATAAATTAGACATTTTTTATTATTAATTGGATATTAAATTGATTACTACAACTACTTAATTAAACATTTATTAATTTATATTTGATAGTACAGTAGGGAACCGATTATCCGGAACGGTCAGGACCATCGCTATTCCGGATAACTGATTTTTCCGGTTTTCTGAATCGCTACAAAAAGCCGTTTTTTTTATTGTTAAACCGAACTAAAAAAAAAATTGAAAATAATCTTAAAAATAAGAAAAAACAATGAAGTAATAGACTAATGATTATTTCCAAAATGATGGTAAGGTAAACCTCTTTTAAAAAGGAAAGAAAAATCGTAAAATCTTACAAGGAAAAGAAAAAAAAATTTTAAAAATGGCGAGAAAATTTATCGAANAAAAATAAGAAAAAACAATGAAGTAATAGACTAATGATTATTTCCAAAATGATGGTAAGGTAAACCTCTTTAAAAAAAGAAAGAAAAATCGTAAAATCTTATGAGGAAAAGAAAAAATTTTTTTTAAATATGGCGAGAAAATGTATCGAATTTTGTTCCGGTTTTTTGGTTTTCTGGATAACGGGTTCTGTACTGTACTATATTAAAATAATTATATAAATATATATGTATGCAATATACCAAATTAATTGCTAATTGTTAAATAAAATTTATTCCCTGCTGTACTATAATATAAGGAAAAAATTGGACTTTTGGCAGTTTTTACCATTTAAAAGACATTTTTAACCTCTGTCATGTTAAAAACTCAACTCTCACAGTTAAAAATAATTTTCAATTTTCTTAATTCAATGTCTAGTTTCTCTAAGGAGATTATAATCTGAAACTTAAATTTTCCTATGACATTTTTTTTAAATTTATGTTGACTGTTTATTTCAGGGGGTTTCAAAGTCTGGGAGTGTTCTGTTGATCTTCTGCACTTCCTTTCATCTGAAAATTGCATCCACCCTGATTATTCTGTTTTAGAAGTATGTACTGTCTATTTTCATGTATTTAAAAACTAAGATTTAATTTCTGCTAAACATTATCTTTTCTAGAATGAAATATTTTTAGTTGAGGATCTAAAAGTTACGAATTTTAAAGTTTATTATTACAAAGGATCTGTGATTACAGTATAAATTTCCAATTTTCTTTACTCATTTTTCCTTACTCCTCTCAAAAAAATTTAATTATTAAAGTTCGAATTTGTTCTTTATTTTGTTTTTATTAAAATTACTATTAAAATCAATATTATTAAAATTTTTGTTATTAATAATTTGACATCATAATTAAACAAATAGCTTTATGAGCAACATTAAGCTAAATTAACCATTCAAAATTTTTTAATACTTTTAGGAAATAGCAAATTTATCAATTTTAATAATTCGACAAATGTAAAATTTCTTAATTATTTATAATAATCATAAATTTTAGTATTGACATTATTGGCTTCAATTCTTCAATTCAATTCTTCATTACTGACAGTTGATATTTTTTTCATCAATTTTTTAAGCATAATCTCATTTTGCTTTTTATTTTATCATTTTTTTAAAATTTGTATTGATTATAAAACTCATTAATTTTATTTTATTTATTTAAGTTAGGTTGTGGTGTGGGTTTGCCTGGTCTGTTTTCATACTTATGTGGTGCACATGTTACATTCCAAGATTTTGTAAGTATATTTCCATATGGCATTTGTAATTTTAAAATCAATATCTGCGTTAAAATTGTACATTGATTCTTTTTTTTAAATGTCTGTGAAACATGAAACATTCTTCTTGTTTTTACTTCACTGTCTCTTCAGATTTATTCAATAGTCGTTATTGTATTTTAATCTACGAAATATCTTTTTTTTTTATGAATTTTGAATAGATTGTATTTATTTGTTTTATATCTGACCGCCTTCGGAGTATTGGTTCAATCAATTGTATATATTTAAAGAAAAACTTTTTTTTATTATTAAAATGTTCATATTTATGGAATTTGCTTATGTAAGAATTGCACGAATTAAGAACAATAAAACTAATAAACTAAATAAATATGTTTAACTCAATAATACATTTTAATAAATTGAAGAAAAAAATTAAATATAATATTAACTTGCTACTGTAAAAGTATAAATTTATATCAGAAAGTAGATTCGCCTCATCAAAATATTGCAAACGTTATTTGCAGAAATAATTAGCTATATATTTTATCAGATTTAATTTCATTTTCTGAACTTATAAATTCTTTCAATTGCTTTAGATTCATTATTTATCCATTTCTATTTAATCTAATATAAAATGTCTTACTATTGATGTGGATAGTATACTTAACATTTTAAACTTATATAGCACTGAATTAGTTATTTGTTGGCTTATATGTTCCATTTTTATTTTGGCACACTTCAGTTAAGTTTATAAAATGCAAATTTAAGCTTGCATTATTTTTATTTAATTATTCATAACTGTATACATAGATAGGAAAAAAACCCGTAAATTTTACGAAATAATATAAATTTACTGATAATTGTTGCATAAAGTACTGAATATTTTACATATGGGGAATTTTATAGTCATCAAAATGGAAAAATTGCAATACTTTCTAGTTATTATTGACATTAAACATACTTTAACTATTACTATGTATTATGTTTACTCATAATTTTGAATATAAATAGGCGAATATAAACTGAACAGTGAACATTTTAGAACAAAAAAAGATTGAACTGATTTTTATAAATGAGGTTCGTTACATTATGTATTAGTAATACTTATTTAAATATTCAAGCAATAATCTGTACAAAAATTCTATTTCAATATGGATTTTTTTAAGGAAACTAGCTGAATTTTAGGGATTTTTTTAAAATGTACAAAAACCAGGAGAATTTTAATTAGACCAGAAGAAACTGGCAAAATTCAGTAGAGTTTCGTGAATTTATAATTTTTTTTTGTTAGCTGTAAAAAAATATATATATTTTTTTTTAGATGAATAATAAATTCTGAGATGATTATGATATGTGAGCCATTATCATGAAAAGTTACATTATCGTGGAAAGTTATTAAAAAAAATTGATACTGATAGTGGAATCAATGTCTTTCAAAGCATTTTGCAAAATATTGTGAACATTTCAAAGTTCATTTCTAAAATGAAAATTAAAAAAAATAAATAAGAAACAAGTTTAAAATAAGCAATCTTTAGAATATTATAAAACATTCAAAATAATTCTATACTTATTTTTCTAAAATAATAATAAAATGAAGATGAGTGCATTTCCAAGCAGTTATCGGGTGGAGACTAGCAGAAATTTTTTTAATCACCATTTGTTATATTTAGTGGCCGGTGGATATCATTAATTTTGTCCTATAATGTAATATATAAAATCATATTAGTACTAATAAGTAATTTAAATCATATTAGTACTAAATTACCAGGACATATAATTTGACTTTTTCTCCTATATTTTAGAATTCTGAAGTGTTGGAATTAATCACTGCTCCTAATGTATTTTTAAATTCCGAAACTGAAGATAGTAAAATGATTTCTAATCGATGCAAATTCTTGAGTGGCGACTGGGGTGATATTGAAGAGCGTTTCTTTCCAGATCGAAAAACTAATGAATTGTAAGTTAAACATAATACTCTTTCTGAATGAAATTGAATAAGTTATATAATTTATGATACTATATTTTTAAAGTGCATGAGAAAAAAAAATTAATAACAAAATACTTTGTTTCAGATTTGATGTGATATTGACTTCCGAAACAATCTACAATCGAGAAAGTCAGAAAAAATTATTAAAACTAATGAAAAGCGTTCTGAAACAAAATGGCATCATGTATCTTTTACTTAAATAACATTCTTGTTATGCGTTATTATTACTATTTATTATAATTTAGATCAAATTGTTAAATACAGTATCTTTAAATACATGATTTTATTTTTTTTAAAAAAACATTGATTTCAACCAATAAAGTAAAAAGAAAGATTAAGATAATGTAGCATTGTTAGAAACAAAATTTAGAATTGCAAGGTAAAAAAAAAAAAAAATAGAATCTTTCATAGTAATAATTTAAAACTATTAACAAGCTTCTAATTAACTTATAAAGCTAGCAAAATATTTGACTGTTTGTTTAAAAAGCAATACTAAAGTAAATGGTAAAAATATGTAAAGGACTTGTTTTTAGTATTAAAATGCATGCATGCAAAAATAATTTTTTATGTGTTAGTAAATAAAGATAATAATCTCATATTTCAGAGATTTAAAGTTACTGATAAATTCTTTAGAATTTAGTAGGATTTCTTGTGTTACTGATCAAAATAATACTTTACGTTTAATTTATTATAATACTTGTAGCAAAAGCAGTTTGTCTTTTATTATAACGAGTTACTTTATTGAGTATTTAACCTGAATATGTGAATTTAGATTTGAGTATGCATGATACTGCTGAAAGAAATCTAATTAAAGATTCAATAATTTCAAAATTCTTTAATGTTTGACTCTCCTTCCTTCAATTATATAATTCAAAATATCAAATTATATATGTGTGTAATGATTTTCTTTAATTAAAATTGATTAACTCATTATTTATGACCTCTGTTATCTTCTACTTTTTTTATGTTAATGCACTGTTCTGTACTGTATTAAAATGAAAGATGGGTTCAATTAGATATTAGCGAAAGAATTTTTTTTTATCTTTAACTCTATAACTGTTCACCCTAAACTAATATTCAGGCAGCCATGTCGGCAATCATCTAGCTTTTCTTTATTATTCAATCTACTTGGCAGGGGAATTCCAGGCCCCGTGGCCAATTTATTCCAAAATCTAAACGTAATACATGGAATTATAATCAGGATTGAACTAGATTGAAACTTTGGATCATCATTTATGCTATTATTTCTTTCACCATTTTTTCACTCGTGCATTTAAATTATAATGTGTAATCATGCTTCTTAATTATTCATCAGATATGTAGCTGCTAAAAGTCATTATTTTGGTGTAGGAGGAGGAATAGCAAATTTTGAAGACTTATTAAAAGAAGACAACACTTTTGACTTTTCTACAGTTCTTAATATTCAAGAAGGTAAATTTGATATGAATTTATTGTATACAATTTTATCATGTATTCACAAGACCCATTAGAATTTCTTTTTAAAAAAAGTTCTTAGTTTAAATGCAGAAAAGTGAGATTATAGTTTTATGTGATAATTGAACATGTAAAAGTTCTAAGTAAGATTTTAGTGAATTGTCTCATCACAAAATTTTTGTAATTTTGGAACATTTTAAATTTTTATTTAATTGATAAATCAGCCCTTTAATTCCAAAATTAAATATTATTTAGTGTAAAAAAAATAAAAAATCAGGAAAATTTTTGGAACAGTATTGATGTATACAATACTACTTATTAAAAATCAAATAGTTAACTAAAATGTATAATTTAAAATTAACTCTAAATTTGGAGTAAATATAAAAAAAATTTACAGCAAAAGAACAATAAAATATTCTATTTTTTATTTTATAATTACTTTGTTTAGAAAAAGTTTTAACGGTTTCTTGAACAATTTTATCAATAATTGAACAACTCAAAATAGTGTCAAATCAATATATTGAAAAATATTCATATTAATGCTGTATTAAGAAAAATAACTAGTGCCAATTAGTTAATATTCCCACATATCAATATGAAATCAACATTTGCAATAGAGTTCAAGATTTACTTAATCAAATAATTTTAAAGTAGAGTTTCAATAATCCAGTAATAAAAACACAATGAATATGCTGTTTCTTTGGTGGTACAAAAGTAATTTTATTGGGTTATCCCTGAATTCATTATTTAAAATTTCTATGATATTACTGTATTGTTGATTGCAATTGATTGTATTTAAAATCGCATGAAAGAGATAAATCAATATTTGCATAAATACAAAACTCTATCTTACAAGAATTGTGCTAAAAATAATAAGCAAGCATTTATCTCCCTTGAAATCATAAACTTCAAACTTTGATTTTGTAAAATTCCTTTTCATAGAATGACTCGATTCTGGGAGTTTGAAACAATGAATCCTGTGGGTAGGCTAATGTATATAATTAGAAAGTGGTCGCTAAAGTGGAACTTAGTGATTTCTACTACAGGGTGCGTAGCCAAATTATTCAACAAAAAATAAGCACTTTTCAAGCACTCAAAAAATATTTTTAAGCACTTTAAAAAATATCATAATTAGGCTGGATTGGAAAGTTTTTGACAATTGACCATTTTATCTTGTTTTAACCGTCATGTCGAAAAAATTTTGGCACTGTTTTTGACAATTGTCAAAAATCATGAAATTTTGAATCATGTATGTAAAACGAATGATCTTTCCTTACGCTACGGACTGACAATAAGCCAAAATAGACTGGGGTTGAATTAATTGTTAAAACGTTGAATAGAACAATGTTATGTTATTTTTTTTGCATAATTCATGGCTAAAATCAACATGGTAAAGAAAAAATTTAATTTTTAAAAATGGGAAAAGTACTTTTATTAATTAAATGAAAGGTGTTGACAAAAATCTAAACAAAAAATTCAAATATTGCGACTCTTAAAATTTCCTTTTTAAAAAACTGCATTTGGTATTGTTCAAAAATGGGATTTTCTTAATGCGCCCCCAAAAACCAGGGATATAAGAACAAAAAATTTAATAATTAAGAGAAATATTTTTTATCAGGAAAATTGGGACAGTTATGAATCCAGGAAGTGTAAAAATTCTCCACGAAAAAGCCACATGTATTCGTAAAAATAAATTTTTGAAAATTTGTTCAAGAGTTTTTCCCCCATATATATTTAAGGTTCAGAGTTCATACTAATGCCAATACTAGTTCATACTAATCCTTCTAAAATTATATTTCAGTTAAAATTGGTTATAAGAGAGTGGTTACATTTTAAAATTATATCCTTTTACGTTAAAGTAGAGCTGTAGTTACTACAAACTGCACTAATATTGTTAATAATTTTTGAAAATTACCCATGTCAAATATGATAACTCTTTCTTTTTTTCTCTTTAGGTCTTGATCGACAAATTCTAAAACTAACTTTCAAAGACAAAAGGTGACAACTATGATGTGTAAAAATTATTACGAAAAGGATTATTGCCTCAATTGTTTTCTAAAATTGGATATTAAAAATATTATGAACATATGCAATGTTTTAGCCAACTGTTATTTTTGCTAACAACCTCTTTTTAATTTCAGACATTGATGGTGGGCATTTTCTGAAAAATTTTTATTCCAAAAATATATGAGTAAGCAAGATTTCTATTTCCACTCTGCTTCATAAGAAATTTCTACTGACATTTAGAGGTGAGTTTAGGCCCACTTTTTCACATTTCTTCAAGTCATTCGAATGATATCTACCATTATCATATTAAACATGCAAGATTTAGACCTCCTATTACATACAGGGTTTAATCATAAACATTTTAGATGGATAAATTGACTGAAAACCAAATTTTAGTTGTCTAACAAAAACGCTCTGTATCAAAGTTTTGTAAAAAGGATAAAATTTAATATGATAGAAAGACAAGAATCATTGGGGGTAATATATTGAGTCTTGCAAATTTATTTTTTAATGCTTAATAACTGAACTAAACCTGAGCTTCGGCTCATGCCAGATAAAAAATAAAAATTGTTAAGGGATGTCTACAAAAAAAAAATGCACTGAGATTTTATTTTTAAATGTTCTTTCTACTTCTATATTGATTTTTTCCCTCTTTTACCAGACAAATTTTCAATTTTGCACAACTTAAGTGATAGTAAGATGGTTAAAATTTAATTTTCCACTTCATCCATCTAAAAAGTTTCTTATTTTACCCTATAATTAACTGCATAATCACAGCTTGAGTTATATCATCAATATCTTGCTTGCACATGTTCACGCCAGGGTGACCCACCTGTTGGTCACGCTAGATTGTCTCATCGGGTGGAGCACCGGAGTAAAAACTGGTAACAAATAAATTTCAATTTTTATTTATTTTTTCGGGATTAATAAAAATCCATAACTGCGAATTGTTTTTAACGGATGTAATTTTTATATTGAATTGCTTCTCCGCCGTCATTAATTTCCTTACAGTAAATTGTTATTGTTNAATATGATAACTCTTTCATTTTTTCTCTTTAGGTCTTGATCGACAAATTCTAAAACTAACTTTCAAAGACAAAAGGTGACAACTATGATGTGTAAAAATTATTACGAAAAGGATTATTGCCTCAATTGTTTTCTAAAATTGGATATTAAAAATATTATGAACATATGCAATGTTTTAGCCAACTGTTATTTTTGCTAACAACCTCTTTTTAATTTCAGACATTGATGGTGGGAATTTTCTGAAAAATTTTTATTCCAAAAATATATGAGTAAGAAAGATTTCTATTACCACTCTGCTTCATAAGAAATTTCTACAGACATTTAGAGGTGAGTTGAGGCTCACTTTTTCACATTTCTTCAAGTCATTCAAATGATATCTATCATCATCATATTAAACATGCAAGATTTAGACCTCTTATTACAAAAGGGTAAAATCATAAAACATTTTAGGTGGATAAAATGATTGATGCAGAGTGTTTTTGTTAGACAACTAAAATTTGGTTTTCAAAGTTTTGCAAAATGGAAAAATTTAATATGATAGAAGGACAAGAATCGTTGGGGGTAATATATTGAGTCTTACTTATTTACGATTTTTTTTTTAATGCTTAATAACTGAACCAAACTTCGGCTCATTTATTGCAGTCTGAAACTTATCCCTTAATATGACAGATAAAAATTGTTATGTCTACAAAAAAAATGCACTGAGATTTTATTTTTAAATGTTCCTTCTACTTCTATATTGATTTTTTTTTCCTTTTTTACCAGACAATTTTTCACAACTTAAGTGATAGTAAGATGGTTAAAATTTAATTTTCCACTTCATCCATCTAAAATGTTTATTTTACCCTGTAATTAACTGCCTAATCACAGCTTGAGTTTTGCCATCAGATAAAATATCATGTGGACTAAGTCTTGCTTGCTTAATATTATAATAGAAGATAACATTTGAAATTATATGAAAAAATGTAATTGTGAACACTCCTGTCAAAACTGTAATTGTCAACACTGTGAACTCCGTTCCCAATCTAAAACACAAGTTTACAAATCTTATTTTAAAAAGTATCCAGTAAAATCCTTACAATAAGAGGGTAAAATGAAGGGTAACCCCCCCCCCCCCCAAAANCCCCCCCCCCCAAAGATATGTTTCATAACAACACCCAAGATATTGTCTACTAACACTGATATAAATAATATTTCCTCCTTACAGATTTTACAAGTATCTGAAGGTACTATTAAAAAGGTAAGAAGTCTGTGTAAAATGAATTGTATACGATGTTCAAATACAAAAACCAAGATAGAAGTTTAAATACTTTTATTTACATAGATAAAAAATATTTACAAGTATATCTTCTATAATGACTAGTTAACAAAAACTAAATACAAAAAAGCTGATTTTTTATTCACAAATGCTAAAAAAATGCAGGTATAGAAAGTAATTCAACAAAATGCATTATAAAAAAAATTATACAGCTGCTAAATACAAAATGATATTAATAAATAATATATTTATATTTTGAAAATGAACAATATAAAACAGGTACATCTTTAACAAAACATCTTTACAATTTATATTAATAATAAATAAATGAATGAATTCAAAAAAAAATATGAAATAGCCACATCCACTTATTGTATATTAAAAATTTAAATTGTCTGTTAAAAATATTTAGAGATATATACTTTTTACAAAAATATTAATTGGAAATAAAATTGATTTAAACAAACACATTTTTCTTGACGCAGCTTTATCGATTAGAAATTGTATAATTGAGGAAAAAAAAAGGTAGACTTCACAATAAAATAGAATACATTTAAGTTTATAAAATTAGATTTCATGAAATGAATGATGAAAATAAATAAAAACAGGACGGAATATTCTTAGAAAAATAAACTTTCTTTTAGATATTATTGCTGTATTGCACATTATTGCTAGGAGAATTTGATTTAATGTAACCACGTTTTATTTTTTAAAAAATAAATGTTATGTATTGAATTTGTCCTTTCTGAGATTATGATAAAAATTAGCCGACAATTATATAAAATGCTTTAAAAGTTTTATACTTTTCAAATAAGTAAATAAAAAAAGCCTTAAACTTCAATATATTTTTTTCTGTCTCTGTAAATTAGCTTTAAATAACTATATTACCACTTGCATAATTCTTTCATTTACTACACATAATTATATACAACCCTTTAACAGTTTTCAAAAATGTATCTTAATTTAAATAAAATTGAAAAAATAAAAAATTATTCTTGAGTAAAAAAAATGTTTTATAAACTTTTAAATTTCATATCAGAGAAATTTTTTCCCTCCATATATATACACTTTTAAATAAATTTTATTAATATATATAAAATTAAAAAAGTAAAATCATTTTAATAATGGGGTGGCAATAAAGGCCATTCTCAAGAATCTTAATAAATTTTCATTATTCAGTCATCACTATTTTATCAAATATTGGAAACTTGTGATGAACCATATAAATTCATTGGCCTTTTAAAACAAAGACCTTAAATTCAAAATACTTTCAATAAATTTCATAAAAATATACTAGCCATTCTTTGTTGTTTCTTAGTTTAAAAAATGTTTCTAAGGAACATAGTCAATATTAAATTATTAAGCTAACCATAAATGCAATTTTTGATATTACACATCTTTTGACCAATCCACACAGAAGCTAACTTGGCGTTTCCACAAAGCAGATGATCTTCAATTCAAAACAGGAAGGAAAAAAAAATTTCTCAATTTTTAGTACATAATTTAAATACCATAAAAGAACAAAAGAAATCTAACTTTAGTGAGTCAGCCTATTCTTGAAAGAATTTTGTGTTAGAATGAAATGGAATGGTATGAAAAGTTAGGAATCTCTAGTTTGCAGGAGCCATTCCTTGTACCTTTGGATTTGTACTGCTGCTGTTTGGGATTCTTCCTGTAAGCGTTGATTTTCTTCTCTCAATTGTAAAACCTCACTCTCCAGATTAGCTTTCTGATGTTGTTCCTTTAAAGTAGAAAAATGATTACTTTTAATTAGGATTCATTTGCATAAAACATAAACATGTTTGATGTTGTCCCTTTAAAGTAGAAAAATGATTACTTTTAATTAGGATTCATTTGCATAAAACTTAAACATGCCTATTTTTTTTCTGGTAACAGGGTGCACAGCTAAATCTTACAACAAAAAATAAGCACCTTTTAAGCACTCAAGAAACATTTTTAAGCAATATATACATTAACAAAATGCAAAATAATTTTCCAAGACATTACATGATCATGATAAAATAACTAGTTTCTAACAAAGAACGTTTTTCTTGATTATTATAGTAGCCATTATAAAATGATCCAAGAGATTTTTCGGTTCAATATCAGAGGGTGGAAAATGAAGCCTGAAATTGAGAATATCTTGCAAATTGAAGTAGAGTTGCACATGAGAGAGCAAGAATCTCACTGAACCCAGCTTAGTAGATGCACATGCGGACTCGCAAATATTCCATTAAACATGTAAAATGATTGGCGCTTTCATACGCTATGGAAGACGGTACCGCAAAATAGACTGTGGTCCAATGAATTGTGAAATGCTTAATAGAACAATGTGAAAAGCACGTTTTTGCATAATGAGTGGCAAAAATCGACACAGTAAAGAAAAAAAAATCTCATTTTCGAAAAGGGAAAAGTAAGCATTTTTAAAAAAGCACCATTAAGGGCTTTTAAAAACAGTATGCACCATGGGTAAGAAAGAATCAGGAAGAATTTTTTTTCCAATAATTTTTACAAAATTTTTATCCCTATACCCTTTGACTTTTATGACTTTTTTTAAAATCATGTAAATACAAATGTGAAGAGGAATTCTTAAAATATATGAATGCAAATTGTGATATTTATATTTTCTCTAACGCGCAATCTTAAAACCTGTAAAAATGAGATCAGATACGTAATGTTTAAATCGTATGAATAAGAATTGCATTATTCCAATTTTAAATCTCTTAAATATGAATCACGTTTTGTTTTTACCTCATGTAAAAATGAATCATGAAGTGTAATTTTTAAATCGCATGAATACATGGGATTTTTAAGCATTTAGTAGGTTAAAATGATTTGTTAAGAGTGAATCACCACAATGGGCGAATTGTTTAAAAATCGGTTAAAATCTCAAGTTTTTGGAGGAAGAATTGACAAGAATGGAATCTTGTTACAAATTCTGGACTTTCGGCTGAATTTAAACTATATTAGGGGTAGGAATTCAATCAACAGTAAAACTAGAAAATGTGACTTCATTTTCTAGCAAGAAGGCAGAAAAAATTTCTAATGACTGTGCAAATATGCAGAGATAACTTCACTTTCACTGAATTGATATTTACTTCTTTAAATTTAAATTCAATGTCATTCCAAATCATTTTTACACTGTCAACATAATTAATTTAGAAATTTAATTCCAATCATACATACCTTTAATAAATCATGTTGCATCTTTAATAACCTTGCCTCCAATTCTTTCACATTAGGAATATTTGAGGCTAAGCTACTGAAAAAGCAAAATAAAATCAGTGAAAATGTGAACTATGATATAGATTAGAATGCTACATTATATCCAAAAATTAAATAAATAAGAGCATAATGCCTAAATTCAAGCGTTTATGGTCCTATTTATATTTAATAACCAAAACCAAAGCTTTCAACATGAAAAAGAAAAAAGTTCAGGAGGTTTGACACAATCTAAATTTAATACTAACTCTCATGGAATATATAAAATATTTGTATGGTTATTTGTATAGTTGTTAAAATTTTTAAATATTTGTATGGCTTATAAATTCATAAAGAGCATTAAAAAATAGCCAAAATTAAGTGTTCCTTTACTGGGTGTTCATTCACTGGTAAGAGCTGTTCATTCACTTGGTCTGCTTACTACTTGTTATTTGAACCTTTAAAACAATATTATGTAAGTTCTCTAAAAAATTTTTTTACATAATTTGCAATTAGTAACAAACATGTTGACACTGTCATTTAACTAAAATTACAAATTTTGAAATTAATATGATTTTTTAAAAGGCAAGTGAAGCTTAAGTGTTCCTTCACTGGTTAGTTTACCCTATAGCATGAGAATTTCTAATTAAGCTAGGTGAAATTTAATTATCTATCTAATAAAATTGGTATCTCTGTTAAAAGTAGTAATTTCTTTTAAAAAAGTTTTTCTCCAGCTATAGTTTGCAACTTCTGCCATAAATATTTAAAATTAATTTTAATGCATTTTACAAAGGACGGGAAAAACTGCAACATATATACAGTCAGAATGAAAAAAGAATTTAGAGCTGTGCAAATGTAAAAAATAAAAGACTTACTTGCAGTCTAACCCTAGTTGTTTCTCAGCTTCTTCCAACCAGGCAGCATTCAAAGGCAAATCTAGAAAATGATCAACAAATTTAGCCAAATGCATAAACTAAATTATTTTTAAAATCAAAGTAATATAAAATGCAATTTTTTTTTAAATTTACTAAGGCATTTTTCATTAGTGGATACCTAATGAACTTTTGTAGTATTCTTTAAATCATAAGTTGGAATAATATGAATTGAAAACTTGATAATGAAGAAAAATAAAATACTTTTGATTTAATTTTTTTTTAAAAAAGGAAACATTCCTCTTCTAAAATTTACTTTTCTTTTAACACTCTCTTCTTAATTTAAAAGCAGTACTTATTTGAATTGCAAACAAGTAACCTGCTATTACTTTGAGAAGGAATTTCTTAATAATCCATCAAGAATGATTAAATAAATCAATCATGAATGTTGAATAAAGTAGGCAACTAAACACAAAGGTTAATCTAGGAAAAAATTAAGTCCTAATGGCACCTTTCACAAATTTCTCTTTTCTAAAAAAGGATCATATACAAAATCAAGTACTATGTTTTACTTTCTACTAATTTTTACGTATTTGTTCTATTAATATTTTATTTGTTCAAATCCTTACAATTTAAAATGCTCGTTATTGTGCATATTTATGCATTTTTGTATAAAAAGAATTCATATTACAAAAGCACATTTTTCTGTAATTACGTACTTAGAATTATGTATTTTTTAATTATTCGTTTAGAACCAAGAACATTGCAAATAAAAAATATTTCCAAAAAATTCTAAAGCAAGTTCTTGACAAAGCCTTTAAGATTTGATACCTGATAAAGAAGATAACAGAACAATTTTAATATGTATATATAAATTATTAACGATAAAACTTAAGAAAATGAAATGAAGTGAGTTCACTTTTTAATTTGTTGTACTACAATAACAGGGTGCATAGTCAAATCTTTCAACAAAAAATAAGCACCTTTTAAGTACTTTTTAAGCACTCAAAAAGTATTTTTAACCACTATATACATTAACAAAATGCAAAATAATTTTCAAAGACTTTACATGATCATAATAAAAGAAGTAGTTTCTGACTAAGAACTCCTTCTTTAATTATGATTATATTAGCGCAGAGGTTCCCAAACTTTTTTTTCTCGTGGACCACTTTCAAATTTTTACTATTTTCGGTAGACCCCCTGCTGCTACATTTCTACTGTATTCCCAAAACTCCTAAAAAATATCACCCTAAATTGGGGGTGTTAAGAAGAAAAAAAAGTAGCACATTTTCTTGTGTCCTATTTATTAAAATAATACTTGTGGTTATACAAAATTATAAACATTTATTATTACAAACATTGACAATAAACCAACAATGAATTCTGAAATGTAAATCAACAATAAAAAATAGTCATACTTTTAATGAGATGGATGTACTTGATGAATTGGCAGCAAATTATCAATATTT